TCCACCCGGAGCTGCTTACGGGTAGAATTGTGGGGGCAAGCTACATTAAAGTGATTATTACGTTTTGAATATGGATATTTTTCTTACAAAAATGCATCGATTCGCTACAGGAGGCCTTTGTTCATCCCCCGGAGCCGTGTGAGACACTTTTTTTTTATGGATGGGCGCTTTTTATTTAACTTCTTTTGGACTGATGCATGCAACACCCGCTGAGTGCCATGAAACAGCTTGAAAGATCAAAGACAATTTTTAATATAACTCCGACTGGATTCGGCTGAAAGAAGAAAGTCATATACACCTAGGATGACTGAGGGTGAGTAATTTGTGGGCTAATTTTCATTTTTGGATGAACTAACCCTTTAATCAGCCAGGCTGACATGGCTGTTTACTGATATAAATCATCTACTATCAGATACAGTCATCAAAAACTGGAGTGTTGATATATAGGTAGAGTAAATGAATTAACTACATTTCATTTTGTGATTCAGGAGTTTCAAGAAGTGTTCTTAAATAAAAACAATTGGTAGTGAGGGAAAAAGACATTTGATTCCAGTTTACATCTTTATTGTCTGTTTGTTTTTAGCATTTTAATAAAGTTAAATTGTTTAAGTATATTTATAATAAATGTAATAATAATTCATTATTTTAATTAAGTGTAATATCAATATAGCCTGTTTGAGAACCAATGCTTTTGGAAGTCAGTCCACACAGCAGCCATCTTGTTAAAATTCTGTACCTGTCTACTTAAATGAGGAAAGACCAAAATCTATGTAACGAAATTACATTTCAGTAACAAACTCTTTGTCTTTGTTTCCTTCCTCTGTTTATCTGTCTGTATAGCCACAGCTTCCTGTAACTGCAAGCCGACATTGGATGTGGAACAATTAATGCGAAAACCCCACACCCCCCTCCTCCCTGCCTCCAAGCTCCTCCTACTCCATCGTCATGGCGATGAGCAGTGATCCTGGTTGCGTGGGGGTGGACCCTGACCCAGACTCCTCCCAGGCGGCTGAGTTGACTGACAAGATGTCTGTGGTGTCGCTAAGGTCTGATCCCTCCTCCAGTGTAGTGAAGAATGGGACAGGTGTTAAGAAAGCTCTGCCCATGAGGCCACACCTGTCAGGCCGGAAGATGTCATTGCAGGAGAGAGGAACGTACGTGTCTTCTGGGAGCGGGGCTGACCGCTATTCCCGAATAGCCAGACAGCCAACCATCGAGTCCAAGCGAGTGTCCATCTCAGACTCGCAGGTGAGAAAAATTACAGTATCATATTGCAGTGGAAATATGATTCCACATATACTTGAACATACTATAATTTTTTTGAACTTTTATGACTGATTACTATTGGTCGATAGTTATTTTGGCAGCTTGGTTTCAATAAAAGCTGTTTTAATACTAATGAGGAAGTTTTAAGTTTTGAAACTTTTTTTTTTTTTTAGTGCAGTGACCTCTTATATAGTATTTAAAAAAATCAAAGAAATTTGATTTCTGAATTCATGACCCCTTAAAGACAATAAAATAGATTTTTATTTGACATAATATTAACTAAATTAGAAATAGGCCATTTATTTAAATGATTCTGTAATCCTAATATACTGTAGTATTTTTAAAGAATAAAAAAATTTTAAAAGGCAGTAAACACTGAAACCAACAGTAATATGGTACAAAATTATATTTTCTCAAATAAAGACCAGGTGACACTAATTTTACACATAGTTCACAGCGTATATAACATAGCTGCCAACTGAATATACAGTAGCACTGAATAGTTTGAAATCATTGATTTGAAATTGCACAAAATTTGCATAAATGGATTGTATTCCTTAATGTTTGTGAGTTTCTTGAAATTAAATATTTACTAGATATTCAAAGATTTGTTTAAATCCAAAGTTCTTTCATGAAACTCTAGATGGTGCTGTCTGATAGGTCTAACTCAATCTGACATAATGACATCATTGTCACATGGCGCAGCTGATTGGTTCTTTTTGTATCAGCAGCCAATGAGCTTGCTGCTTAACATTCAAATACTCAGCCAGTGCTTGCTGTAGCAGTTGCAGCGCGCATCAGAAACCCTCCACCTTCCCCAGCTCCACCTGTATAGATCTGCTATGGGGTGATTCTTGTATGCTATATGGGGGTTATTTCATGTATGTTATATGTACAGCAGCAGTATTTCTTACATGCTCACAGCGGCATGTTGTGGATGTATTGGCAGTAGCAAGTCTCGGTACTTGCTCTGCCACAGCAGCAGCAGCGTAGGAGATCTATTCCGTCATGTACATTACCATGCCAAACCCTCTGAGAGTTGTCAGGATAGAAGTGATGTTAATTTGTTGAATGCTATTGGTATATGAAAAAGCATTATAGCATTTGCCTTCCTAATAATAACAAAAAGAAAAATGCTATAACACTTTTTTGCATATACCATTAAACAAATACAGTAAACTAATGAAAACTGTGAATGGGTGGTATACTGTGTTTCGATGCTAATCAGCTAAACAGGAAATCTTATAATAAAAACTGCCAAATAACAACTGATATATCAGCCTTGGTGATATATTGGTCGTCCACTACTGATTACTGTTTTGGATTGATTTGCAGTATCAAGTCTTTAATAGTTATTGACATCCGGTCACATCTGACTGATTTTGTTGTATGAAAGCCTCTCAAATATAGCATGAAGAGCTTGTGCTATATATATGTGTGTGTGTGTGTGTGTGTGTGTGTGTGTGTGTTTGAAGCAAAACTCATTTCCTGTGATTAGTGTCCAGGTCATGTGGCAACCCATACAGCCAAACTTTAATAAGGCTTCTTTCATTCATACACAGCCTCAGCACCCTCCCCCTCCTAACAACCTGCTCCCATCAAAGAATATCTTTGTTCTGACCTGTAGAGATGATCTGTGTGTGTGCCCACATTTCTGCCTGGCTATATGTTTGTGTGTGTTAATGGGGCTCAAGCCTTTCTGAGGGCTGAGACACTGAAAGGCAGGGGTGCTCCTCATCTTCTCTCTGTAGTGTGAGAGGCACTCTGCTCTGAGAGGAGCATCAGCTGGACATGTTCTTCTCATCTGCTCTAACACTCATCCAGTGATAGGCGCAGAGGGGAAACACTCTTAGCACTTAAGCTATTTACTGTCATTGATGTAGTTTGAATATTTTTTAATGTACGTTCATACTGGAGTACTTAAATGATAGGCTTCTATTTACTAAAAGTCATTATTTACTCAAACCATCATGTCATTTTAAACCCATTTGACTTTTTTTCCACAGAACCGTTTTTAAATTAATTGATTAATATGGTGTGCACATTCAAACTCATCCAGTTGAGTTAGTAAGTTATCAGTGCATTTACATGCGTTTTAAAAGCTTAATTTCAGTTGGACTAAAGGAATTATTTTTCTAAATGTCATAAAATCACTTTAGACCCCATTTTTGTGAAGTTGAACTAACAGACATAGATATTGTGATTGTAGCCTAGGTTGATGTATATGTAGACACGGATTGCTATTGGCCACAGCTGGAAAGATTGAGTCTCCATTCTTTGTAATTGCATGAAAAAGGGCAACTAGTGTGTTGTCAAAATTACATTTGGTGTTCCACAGAAGAAAGATGGTCATATGGGTTTGGAATGACATGAGGGTAAGTAAATGATGACAGAATATTTGTTTCTGGGTGAACTAATCATGTAAAGTTCATGTAAACTCATTTTGTGAGTTCACCCAAAAATGAAAATTCTGTCATTAATTGCACACCCTCATGTTGTTCCAAACCCAAAGACAGCAACGCAACTGACACGTTCAAGGCCCAGAAAGACAGTATGGACATCATTAAAATAGTCCATGTTACATCAGTGGTTCAGTGCGTTGCTGTCTATGCAGGGTCAGAAAGCTCTTGGATTCCATCAAAAATATCTTAATTTGTGTTCCGAAGATGAACAAAGGTCTTACGGGTTTGGAACCAAATGAGGGTGAGTAATCAAAGACAGATTTTTCATTTTTGGGTGAACTAACCCTTTAAGTTTGTTTGACAAGTCTTGTCTGGTTGAAGTTGGTCTTTTTTATTTTTTTATTTTTTTAAAGTGTACCTTAATCATAAATAATTATTTTTCACAAACATATTCTATTGACAGCTTTATTACTGTATAAATGAAAATTGTGTAGTAAAGACATATTCTTATGAAGTATGAAGAAATTAAAACATTCCTCAATCTTTTCTAAGGATCTTATTGTTAATCTCTAATATCTCAGTACTATTTGTTTTAGTGTCAGAAATGGCTGCAGTCTCTGATATGATCGCTGGTAGTTAGAGGAAGCCTCATAAAGCAGAGATTAGAGGAAGCGTATCTTTCCCACTTTCTCACATGCCACATGTTCTGGCATGATTTACTTTACTGCCTGTGAGATGGTTATCACTGGTGGAAAGGGCTGTGGAGAAGGGCTTTACATTGATGGATTGTTATTGTTCTGCAGGGAAAATTATACTTTATGGTTTTCTGTTTCATTAACTTATCAATGTATCATTTCAAAGCAGCATCTTGAGGGAATATAATTATATTGCATCTCATTTGCTAACTATGCTCATAACTGTAAAAAAAAAAACTGTGTAGGAACATTTTCATAGAATAAGTGATAGAAGAATTGTACACTACTGTTCAAAATGTTGTCGGTACAATTTTTTTTGTGTGTTTTTAAAAGAAGTCTCTAATACTTAACATGAATTCATTTGATCAGGAAAGGGTTAAGCATGGATGATGTGTACATATAGGATTATTACTTTATAATATAAGTCATATTATGAAATTATAATTATAATTTAAAATAACAGTTTTTTTATTTTAATATATTTTCTAATGTAATTTATTCATGTGACGGCAAAGCTGAATTTTCAGCAGCCATTACTCCAGTCTTCCCTGTCACATGATCCTTCAGAAATCATTTATGTATGCTGATTTGGTGCTCAAGAAACATTTTGTGTTATTATAAGTGTTGAAAACAGTTGTGCTATTTATACTTTTCTGGAAACTGTGTTTTTTTTCAGGATTCTTTGATGAGTTCAGAAGGATTGCATTTATTTGAAATAGAACTGTCACTTTTCATCAAAGTTATTTCATCCTTGCTGTGTAAAAATATTCTTTTTCTTTTTTTTAAAAAGGTTGACCCCAAACTTTTGAACGAAAATGTAAAACGGAAAAAAAACCAGTCTTTAGGGATGTGGAATTTGTTAAGCTAAATATTATTATTAGAAATGTGAAATATCCCTTAAATGGAGATGGTCTGGGTGTATATTTATATTATACTAATTACTAGGTGCACAATTACAATAATGCAGATCCATCAACATTAGAACCGGAGTAAGAGCAAAGTGATGTGCTCTCATCTGGTATTACACAGTTACTAATAAATGAGACCCATTTTATGTGGATTATAATTTATTTTTCTGATGTTGAGGTGAGCTGTTTGCTTCATATCCTGAGCCTGTTTATCATGTTTTTAATGGTCTCAACCTCTCATTCTCTCTTTCCTTCATTGACTCTTTCTCTTCCTCCCAGCAGCTCCAGTCACATCTTTGAGACTCTACTGTTTTCTTTGACTTATAGGACAAGAAAAAAAAGTCTGGGGTCCTGTCTCTCTATCTGTCGTATTTTCCCTCAGACTTCAGACAGCTGTCATACACACTCTTCTCTCTGCCTTGACACTCCAGCTGAAGTGTGAGCAGTAATGTGAGGCTGTTTTGGTTAAGGTACATGGAGCAGTCAAAGTAACTGACTGTCAGATTTCACATCACTGGATATTTCTCTTCCTCCCTCGCTTTTGCCTACACTCTCTCTTTGCTTTTGCTCTTTCTCTGTTTCTTTTTCCCTTTTGCCCTTTTCCATTTTGTTCTTGTGTACTTTTTCTTTCACTCTCCTTTGGCCATAATAAACTCATGCCCTTTCCATGAAATACTCTGTGCCTGCTTCACCTCCAGCATTACCCAGCATAACCTACACCACTTACACGCTGTGATCCCAGATGTTATCGTAGTACAACATTTGAATGCACAATATGGTTGTATCTTACTTAAACCCAAGATTATCCAGTCTAATCCGGGTTTAAAAAGAAAAGAAGGGCCAACCTGGAAGAGGACAAAGTGAAAATTGAGCCTGTGTGCTAATCCTCCACTGTCACGCTTAAACGTTTTATTTCCCTCAGTGAAAACTTTAGCTCAAAACATGATAATATTTTGCGGTTTATTGGTTTAAAGGGT